TACTACTACTCCAGCACTTCAGGAGACATTAGCTCAGTTCCTAAGCATGTTTTGTACATTAGTTCAGGCGGGATTGATTCAGGTTGTACCAGCCACTTCCCAGATCATGGAAGGGATCCAGACTTCCGCCACCCCCACTCCAGAGCAGCGAGTTCCCATTGGTCAGGTTCCAGATGTCATGGCGACACAGCCTGTGATCTCAGTTCAGCGGGTGGTGAGGACCTCTCGCCGAGTAGAGGACAGGTGGGTCCAGGAGAGAGAGGACAGACGAGGTCAGGAGAGAGAGTATAGGGAAGTGAGGAGACCTCGTAGACTGGAGAGACCCATTGGTCCTTATTTTGGAGGAAGAGTACGGCATGGTAGAGGTTTTGTGGGTCAGCCAGCTCAGTTTGCATCTCAGATTTCACGCAGTATTTCAGGAGTTCAGGGGTCTTGAAGTTTTCGGTTAGATAGTGAGATTTTGATCCGAGGGTCGGAATCGAATTCTGAAAGTTGGAATAGCTTCGTAGTGTTGAATGTGACGTGTGTGCAAAATTTCAGGTCATTCGGACGAGATTTGATAGACTTTTTGATCGAAAGCATACTTTGAGAAATTTGGAGTTCTTAGGCTTGAATCCATGGTTAATTTGAGGTTTTGATGTTGTTTTAGGTGTTTTAAGGATTGGTACAAGTTTGGACAGTGGTATTAGACTTGTTGGTGCCTTTGGTTGAGGTCCCGGGGGCCTCAGGATGATTTTGGATGGTTGACGGGGAGTTTTGAGGTATATTGCAGCTGCTGAACTTTGCTACTTCAAGTATTTCCGCACCTGCGGTTTGGGGACCGCAGGTGCGATGCCGCACGTGCGGAAGGAGAGCCGCAGAAGCAGAAAGAGGGGGAGTCATCAGGAACCGTAGATGCGGTATGTTTTTCCGCAGAAGCGGTACCGCACCTGCGGTTGGGGAGCCGCAAATGCGGAAGCTGGGCGTTAAGTGATGGGTCGCAGGTGCGACCTTTGGTCCGCAAATGCAGGACCGCAGAAGCGGTCCCAAGGCCGCAGATGCAGAAATTGCTGGGCAGAATGGTTTTAAAAGGGGTTCCGCGACTTTGAAGTTTATGTTCACCATTTTAATCATTTATGGAGCTCTTTGGAGGGGATTGAAGAGGGATTCGAAGGGAATCACTTGGAGGTAAGATTCTTGGTTTTAAAACTCATTTCTAATGTGAAATCTACCTAGTAAATCATGGAAGGTAGGCCAAAAATGGAAGAATTAGGGCTTGGGATTTAAGAGACTTGAAATAAGAATTTGAGGGGCCATTTGGGCTCCGATTTCAGTGTTCTTGGTATGTATGAACTCGTGAGAGTGTGAGGATTCCGGAAATATAACTTTCATTCGATTCCGAGACGTGGGCCCGAGGGGCATTTTGGTCATTTTACCTAATTTTGCTTATTAGCTTAGAATTTAATTGTAGAATCAGTTACTTGAAATGTTATTTACATTATGAAATTTAATTGAATAGATTTGGGCTATTTGGAGTCGGATACTCGTGGCAAGAACGTGGTTTCGGGTTGACATTTGAGTCGGTTCGAGGTAAGTGGCTTGTCTAACCTTGTGTGGGGGACCTTCCCCTTAGGTTTGATATATTTGGTAATTGAAATACCTTGTACGTGAGGTGACGAGTGTGTACTTGTGCAAATTGTTGGAAATCCAGTTTTCTTTAAGTACTTATTAGTATGTTTCTTCTCCTGCTTTTATTACTTGTACTATTAAGCCTGTCGTTAGCTTAGGAAAACATGTCTAAGTGATTTAATTGCTTTAATTGTTCAATCTGTTTATCTGAACTCTGTGCATCATGCTAGGCTAGAGTTATTTGTTGCCTTAATATGAAATTTCCCTTCTCTGAATATTTTCTTGCTGCTGCTGTGTATTTACATTGGCACTACGGTTGTGGGATTTCGGTAGCTCCCCCGTGTCTGTTTACTTTGGGACTACGGGTTAGATTCCCGGTTGATCCCCCTGCACATTTACTTTGGGACTACGGGTTAGATTCCCGGTAGATCCCCCTGCACATATACTTTGGGACTACGGGTTAGATTCCCGGTAGATCCCCCTCCACAGTTATATGGAACTACGGGAATGCACCCGGTAGATTCCCCCAGTACTGGGTATTTATCTTTGGGGACTACGGATCGGGATTCCGGTAGATCCCCCCCGCGCATTGATAGTTGGACTACGGGACAGGATCCCGGGAGATCCTTCGGACACATATATGATGGACTACGGGAAGGTATCCTGGGAGATCCACTGGATAGTTGTAATTGGGATTACAGGACGGTATCCTGGAAGGTGCCCCGGTTGTTATCTCTGTGTTGAGCTGTATTTCTTTCCGTGGTTTGTTTGTCTCTGTTCTAGTGGTTGTTGTTCTTCCAATTCTATGTTATTTCTTACTGTTGCACTTATTTATACTGTTTATTTCACACTGTTAACCCTTATATTTTATTTAACCTCGGTAGGCCCCTGACCCGACCGAGGTTAGGCTTGGCACTTACTGAGTACCGTTGTGGTGTACTTATGCCCCTTCTACGCATGTTTTTCATGTGCAGACCTAGGTACTTTCCCTCAGTCTTATCATCCTTGAGGCGAGGCGCTTCTGTAGAGACTTCAAGGTATATATGCTGCATCCGCAGACCGAGGAGTCCCTTTCTATTCTCACTTTTAAGTATTAGCCCTTCTGTATTTCTTTTCCTTTTGTTAGACATTTCTGGAGTTAGAGCTTCTTATGTATCCCTTAGCTTGTGATTCATGGGTTTTCGGGTCTTGGATTTATGTGTTGGTTTTGAGAGTTAGATATGGTGTATGCCGAGCGACACATTTAAACACTGTTTATTTCTTTATTTCCGTCTTAAATTGTTTTACTTCCGCGAATTTTGGTTTCCTTTTCCGCAATTTAGGCTTACCTAGTCGAAGAGACTAGGTGCCGTCATGATGGTTCACGGAGGGCGAACCGGGGTCGTGACAGTATTTTTTTTGGCCAATCACTGGACATCTCTTGATTAGAGAACACAAGTTTTGGAGCTAGGTTTCTTGCACACACAGTTAGATCTTGAAGATTTGAAGCTTTTGGTTGAATATTCCTTACCCATTTATGTTTATTTCTTCATTTCCTTGCTTTGTATAGAATATCTAACTGTATAGTATTTTTTCCAACACTTAAATCTTGTTTATGAGAATATTCATATTTAAAGTATGGATTAAATATCTTGTTGTGCTTATGTATTGAACGATTTATATTTATATTGAAGTGAGTTATTGTTTCTGTAACTATTCTTGTTCTTTAATATTTCCAAAGGGATTAGCTAACATTAGGACTCGCCCATTAACTTCGAATTAATTTTGGAAAAGATGATTTGGGGTTGGAAAAGATTAATCAACAAGAACTTGAGGCGTTAACCCTCACTTTATAGATTCTACCTAGGGATAGGATTGAACTACTTGTAACCATGTTTGGGTGTGCTTAATCTCTTAATTGTTTTAGGGTTAATTCAGTTAGGAAGTTTTGTTAGTATTCGGAAGAAGCTAATAAAGAATTATTACCCGAGGATAATTAACATAAACTCGCTCATATTTGTAAAATCGTGAAATACATTGGATCGTTACTTTGAGTGTAATTCCCAATGCATCCATGCTTGTAGCCATTGATCATTTTACTTGCTTTCTAGGTCAATTTACATTTTCGCATTTAGACATAAATATTCTCAAAAACTCTTTCTAAGTGTTTGGCTTAGCGTAGTAAGTGATAATTCTCTTACACACCTTGTCGCATATATATTGTTCTCTGTGCGGTTCGACCCCGACTCATAGTTGGGTATATTATATTGCATGCGACCATGTCCATTTACTTTTTAGTAGTGGAATTGGACTTCATCAGTCCACATGGAGGGTGTATGAGCCCACATATATCATCATGTATACGTTCTAGAAATGCAGGGGATTCAATCCCAACCTTAGTTATTGATGGTCTAATAACCAATTTTCCTTGAGAACAAGCAGCACAAGAGAAGTCTTTAGATTGAAGAATCTTCTAATTCTTCAATGTGTGTCCATATTAATTCTCGATAATTTTGCGCATCATATTAGAACCGGGATGGCCCAACCGGTCATGCCTAGAACCAGTAAACTTCTTGTTTACTATTGCTTGTGATTCAACCACACTAATACTTGTGTGGTACAAGCCAGAGGAAAATGCAGGTAACTTTTCATGTATACATCTTTTCCCCGCTTTTATTGTAGTAATATAAAGATATTCAACCATTCCTTCGTTGGCATTCTCCACATGGTAGCTATTTTGTCGAATTGCTTTGAAACTCAACAAGTCTTTTTTAGACTTACTACAATACAAGGTAATATTACTACATTATTTATAGCCAATATTGTTCTACCAGGTAGTAATATAGCCGCTCTTTCGAGCCATCAATTAATTTTGTACTACCTGATATTGTATTCACATATGCCTTTTTCATAACCAAATAAAAGAAATATTTATTTTTTCTTAGTATAGTGTGAGTTGTAGCACTATCCAGAAGGGATATATCTTCATTACTCATCTTGAATCCAACTGAAGACTGGGAAATTTTATTTTTCTTCATAAAATAAAAGTACATCATAAGAAATACGAAAAAAATTAACAACACTATAAGATAACTTAAGGTAATTGAAAACTAAATAATTTAAGAAAGAACAAGACAATTAAAACGTAGAAATAAAAGCAACAACATAATTGTATTTCCAGTAAAATGAATAAACTTCAGTTTTGATCCCAAAGAAGTCTCCAACTTCTAAATGAGTAATATCATCGTATTTGTTTAAAGCCCTTGTCTCAGCATCATTTCAAAAGGTTAAGTGCGACTGCACGGGAGCACTAGCAGAAGAGGCTCTAATATCGTTGGTCTTTCTTTTGTTCGAGTTTTTTATAAAGCCTAAAAAATATTCAAGCGCACGACATTCATATTTCCAATGACCTTTCATACCATATCTATGACAGTTATTGCCTTTGCCTCTTGAAGGATTGTTTTGAGAATCCATATTATTCTCCCGTTTATAATGACCACCACGATGACGATTATTATATCGTCCCTTGCCACACCACGTACATTCATATGGCCCTGATAATTATTTTGTTTTCTTTCAAACTTATCACGTGTTGCTAGCACATTCGCTTCAGCAAATAGAGCGGATCCAGCGGGTCGGGCATCATGATTCATCAAAAGGGTATTATGTTGCTCAGCCACCAGAAGGCATGAGATCAACTCAGAATATTTTCTGAAACCCCTTTCACAGTATTGTTGTTGTAATACCATATTTGAGGCATGAAAAGTCGTAAGAGTCTTTTCCAACAAGTCCTCATCATTTATAGCTTCTCCACATAATTTTAATTGGGAAGTTATTCTAAATACAACAGAGTTATACTTGCTTACGGTCTTAAAATCTTTCAACCATAAGTGTACCCACTCATAACGATCCTTTGGCAATACAATCGCCTTAAGGTGGTCATACCTTTCCTTCAAACCAGTCCACAATTCAAGTGGATCTTTCACTATTAGATATTCAACTTTCAATCCTTCATGCAGATGATGACGAAGGAAAATTATAGCCTTCACTTTGTCCTGACTTGATGCCTCATTACCTTGAGTAATGATATCACCAAGACCTTTAGCACCTAAGTGAATTTCATCATTGAGAACCCATGACAAATAGTTCTTTCCAGAGATGTCAAGTGCCACAAATTCAAGTTTTAACAAATTTGACATAGTGAAAGCTATCATAAAAAAATGAATTAGAAACAATAAAAGAAACTAAAAATAACTTTCTAAATGCCAATAAATCAGAAACGTATTAGTTTAGTAGATCCGAACGATATATTGATGTAAATACACGTTTGCTATTGCTATTCATAAAAATATAAGTTTCTGCATATATATATATATATATATATATATATATATGGCACTAAAAATTAATGATAAAATACATGCTTCTATTTTTCTAGTTGTGAAGTACAAAGACTTACAAAGATAGTTACGATAGCAGAATAAACGAAAATTTAATCGTTGAGAAAATTAGTTGGTATTCCAAGACATAAATTTTCGGGAAACATGAAATGATATATCATAGTGCTTTCATATTATCTAACATGTTTATTGTCACGACCCAAAATCTACTAAGGATCATGATGGCGCCGGACACCACTGCCAGGCAAGCCAACACCATTTAACTAGTAAATTCCCGTTTCAATATTTTCAAAATCATTTCCGCTAAACATTAAACAATGAATAATAAACTCCACTGAATATATAATGATGTCTTTACAAAATTACTGAACAATCCCAAAATCATCCCAGAACCCGGTGTCACAAGTGCATGAGCAATTACTAGGAAATCTAATAAAGTACAATAGTTGTCCGGAATACAAACTTGAACAGAAAGTAAATATAATACACTGAAAGAGACTCTGCTGGCTGCGGGTCATCTCGAGTGATGTAGCTCACCTAAGTCTCTATATCATCCATGTTGCTACGTCCATTAGGCCACTAGAGGTACATGCGCCTCTGCAACAAAAATGCACAGCAAGGGTAGCATGAGTACAAAAATAATGTGTACTCAGTACGTATCCCGCCTAACCTCGAAGAAGTAGTAACGAGAGGTCGACTTTGACACTTACTAATGGTCTGGTAATATCATTACAATAAAGAAGTGAATAAGTACGAAACAGGAAAATTATATGAAATAAGCATGCATAAAACACATAGTAATATCCCCTTTCTTCTTTATTTTACTCAAGTTTTCAGCTAACAAGTTCCCTCCGTAACTGGAGCACAAATTTGGCTATGGTGGATTTCTTTAAAGAAGTTATCATAATTCAAAACAGGGAAAAATACCCCAGGTTCACTGGCTTCTAGCCAAATGTAACGCACGATTCTATGAGAATAGTATATACATATACATATATAGGAAATGCCGAGGCGTACGGCCTGATCCAACATAAAAGTGAATTGTGCACTGCCGAGGGTCAAACGGCGCGAACCATAGATGCATCTATTACCCTGCCGAGGCGAACGGCCCGCTCCCATGAGAGTGTGGTACATAAATCCTGCCGAGGCAAACGGCCCGATCCCATAAGAGTGTGGTACATAAATCCTGCCGAGGCGAACGACCTGATCCCATAAGAGTAGTACAAGAAAATACCCCGCTCGCGAATCATATGTGCGACGCGGTCAAATATTATTAATGGAATTTCCCTCGCTCGCGAATCATACATGCGACGTGGCCAAATATAATTTATTAATAATTCAAAATCTGTATACGGTAAAATTGGAGGATCGAATTTCCCGTCGTTGTGATGGCTCGTAAGCATATTTCACGGGTTCGAGGCTGTGGTCGAAGTTCACCCTCGAGGCCTACCGACGCTCGATCACGGGGCGGTGCAGACCAACGGTTATAATGAAAAAGTGGGGAGTTCCCTAGGCGCACGTCTAGAGCTGACAAAGTCTAGTGAGCTATGCTCAGATCCGCATCATGACCTCAATTAGCTGTCCCATCTCCATATCTTTTGTAATTAATGCATTAGTACTATGATGGGGTTTCCCCTCATATATAAAAGGGATCCCTGTCATTTTGTATCTATCTGATTCTGAATACTAAATACACAAGAACATTCTCTCTGCTTTCTAACATATTCTCTTGAGTTCATTGTTTCATTTATTGCTTACATTCATTGTGTTCTATTTATTGTTCTTTATTTATAGCTTATTATTGGCCATAAACAGCCATCATTGATCTCATTATAACTGTTAGTCGCCCTTCGACTACCCTTGATAGCTCCCAACCGATCACCCAACTCGACCTCGAGGTCCTCGAATAAGCCAGCTCGAGGCTCCGACTATTAATAACTCGGTTTGGTTATCACCTTGCTCTCAAGCACTAATCTCGTTTCTAAGTCTTTCACATAGCATCAACTGCTGAACAACCGACATAAAAATAGATCACATATTTTTAGAACCTCACAAAATCAAATTTAATTGTTATTATCATTTTCACGGTAAACAGTTTGGCACCCACCGTGGGGCTAAGAATAACAGTGATTATTTTCTTGCTGGTTTAACTACATAACGCAAGTTATCTTTCACACTTTTTCCTGCCCAAAGATCTTTGATTTTAGGTCAAAATGTGTGGCTCAGTGAACGACAATCTCGAGAACCATGGAGAGAATGGCGGGGATGTTCCAGGTGTTGGTATACCACCACGAAACCCTGAGAGCTCACCGGAGCCGATTCCCAAGGGTACGACCCCATGCGACGCCTAATGCGTCAGCGCCGGTCCTCACATTAACTAGGGAGCACGCCCAGAAATTCAACGAGAAACTCGGAAAAATCCAACTTGGGCAAAAGGAGAGATTCCTCGGCATGTCATTCATATGATTATGGGGGGGACCGACATTCCCCAGGGACCCGCGATCAAACAGACAAAAATATCTGCTGCAATAGGAGGATCGATCCGAGACCACATGACCGAAGACATCATTGCATTCGACGAGGAGGATCTCGAGACCTTGGCAGAACCACACAACGATGCGCTGGTAATTTCATTTCTTTTAAGCAACATTCGAATTAAGCGTGTGCTCGTAGATCCAGGCAGCTCGCCAATATAATCAGGGCAAAGGTAGTAGAACAGCTTGGGTTGCTCGATCAGATCGTACCCGCCCCCCAGGTCCTCCACGGCTTCAACATGGCCGGCAAAGTAATAAAAGGAGAGATCTCCCTCCCAATTGACATGTCCGGTATGGTTCAGAACACCAAGTTCCACGTCATCGACGGTGACATGAGGTACAACGCATTTCTCGGTAGGCCGTGGATACACAGCATGACGGCAGTGCCGTCAACTATGTACCAGATGATAAAATCTCCAACAGAGGATAGTATAACAACCATATATAGAGAACAACATGAGGCGAAAGAAATGTTCGCGGTTTACCAGGAGGCGCCGATTCCCATACACTCCACCTCGGATAAGTCTGGGAGCGTACAGGCCCCCGAGGATGATGAAGAAGATTTCCTCGCTCCTCGAACCTTCGTTGCCCCCGAAGAGTCGGATGCAACAAAATCGACAATTGAAGAACTGGAGCAAGATATTTTGATCGAGCACCTTCCAGATTAGAAGGTATACCTGGGAACAACAATAACCCCAAACTCAGGAAAGAACTCATTCAACTTCTTATTAAAACATCGACTGTTTCGCTTGGTCCCACTTAGATATGACAGGAATCCCGCTGGAAATAGCCATCCGCCGATTGAGTGTAGACCCCAGGTTTAACCAGTGAAGCAAAAAAGAAGACCTCAATCCGAAGTAAAACACACATTCATCAAGGACGCGGTGACGAAACTCCTTAAAATAGGGTCCATTAGAGAGGTAAAATACCCCCGAATGGGTGGCCAACGTAGTGGTAGTACCCAAAAAAGGAAATAAGTTAAGAATGTGTGTAGATTATAAAGATTTAAATAAGGCGTGCCCCAAGGATTCGTTCCCATTGCCTAACATCAATCGTCTGATCGATGCTACAGCCGACCACGAGACCCTTACTCTTCTCGACGCCTACTCGGGGTATAACCAAATTTAGATGAAACCAGGGGGATCGAGATCAACCCCGACAAAATCAAGGCCATCGAAGAAATCACGGTGGTAAATAATGTAAAGGCCGTGCAACGGCTGACAGGGCGGATAGCTGCTCTAGGCAGATTCATATCAAGGTCGTGGGACATGAGTCATCATTTCTTCTCTTTACTCAAAAAGAAAAAACAACTTCGAGTGGACCCCAGAATGCCAACACGCCTTAGAGGAATTGAAGCGATATCTGACTAGTCCGCCTTTGCTCCACACGCCAAAAGAGGATGAAAGCTGTACCTATACCTGCCCGTATCCGAGATAGCGGTAAAAGGTATGCTGGTTCGAGAAGAGCAAGGTACGCAATTCCCTGTTTATTATGTAAGTCGGACCCTAGGGGATGCCGAAACCAGGTATCCGCACCTAGAGAAATTAGCTCTTGCATTAATAAGCGCATCGCGAAAATTGAAACCCTATTTTGAATGCCACTGTATTTGCATCCTAACAACGTACCCTCTCTGAAGCATATTACGTAAGCCTGAACTATCGGGCCGATTGGCCAAATGGGCCCGAACACGGAGGGTATGATATCGAGTATCAACCCCGAACAGCCATCAAGTCCCAGATTCTGGCAGACTTCGTGGCCGATTTCTCGCTCTCCCTCGTGCCCGAGGTAGAAAAGGAACTTTTACTGAAATTAGGCACGTCTTCCGAGGTATGGACCCTGTTCACTGACGGCGCCATAAACGTGAGAGGATCCGGGCTCGGTATAGTCCTGAAGACGCCTACGGGCGGCATAATCAGGCAATCTATAAAAAATGCAAGATTGACTAATAACGAAGCCGAGTATGAGGCTATGATTGCAGGTCTGGAATTGGCCAAAAGCCTGGGAGCTGAGACCGTCGAGGCAAAATGCAATTCACTCCTGGTAGTAGATCAGGTAAATGGGAGCTTTGAGGTCCGAGGAGACAGGGTGCAAAGATACTTGGACAAAATCCAAATCACACTACGCCATTTAAAAGAATGGACCCTGGTCTATATACCCTGATTACAGGACAGCGAGGCCGATGCCCTCGCTAACCTAGGATCATCCGTCGAAGAGGACGACCTACTCCCCGGGGCCGTTGTTCAACTATCCAAATCAGTGGTCGAG